AAGTGAAAGACTTGTACACTGAAAACTGTAATACATTGATGAAAGAAATTAATGAAGGCACAAATAAATGGAAAGACATTCCATGTTTATGGATTGGAAGACTTATATTGTTAAGATGTTTATACTATATACTATACAAAGCAATCTAAAGCAGACTCAATGCTATTCTCACCAAAACTCCAATAACATTTCTTATAGAAATAGAAAAAACAATCCTAAAATGTATATGGAACAACAAAAGACCCAGAATAGCCAAAGCAATTTTGAATAAGAAGAATAAAGCTGGAATCATCACATTTCCTGATTTCAAACTATATTGTAATGCTATAGTAATCAGAACAGTATGGCATTAGCATAAAAACAGACACACAGACCAATGGATCAGATTAGAGAGTCCAGATATAAACCCACACATATGAGGTGCTTCAAAAAGTTCATGGAAAGATTTATACTATTTTTTTTTTTTTTCTTTTGTCTGTTTTCGTGTCCAGCAACGGATCGCAGCCCTCGGGGTCGCGCCCGTACCGGACCGGGACCGGCAACGGGATCGCAACCCTCGGTGTTGCGCCCACACCTCGCTCAGCCAGTGAGCAGGAACCGGTCTGTATGTGGGATCCGAACCCTCGGCGGGAGCGCCACCGCGCTCCCAAGCGGCACACTGTAGCAGTGCGCCACCAGGCCAGCCCTATACTATCTTTTTAATTCTATTTTTTCCATGAGCTTTATTCGACCTGGGCCGGTTCACCCCTCCTTAGGCAACCTGGTGGTCCCCTGCTCCCGGGAGGTCACCATATTGATGCCGAACTTAGTGCGGACACCCGATCAGCATAGCGCACTACAGCCCAGAACTCCTGGGCTCAAGCAATCCTCCAGCCTCAGCCTCCCGAGTAGCTGGGACTACAGGCGCGCGCCACTGCACCCGGCTTCCATGAGCTTTTTTGAACTACCCATGTATATGGTCAACTTATCTTCAACAAGGGTACCAAGAATACACAATAGGGAAAGGATAGTCTCTTCAACAATTGGTGCTGGAAAAACTGGATATCCATATGCAAAGGACGAAACTGGACCCCTATCTTATACTATATACAAAAAATCAACTCAAAACAGATTAAAGACTTAAATGTATAACCTGAAACTGTAAAAACCTAGAAGAAAACAAAGGGGAAAAGCTTCACAACATTGGTCTTTTTCCCCTTCTAATTCCAACATCAATGTCATATGTGAATTATTGTGATGAAAATATCATAATTTTGAAATATAAAAAATAAGGGGAAAAGCTGTTTCACTCCTCACCATAAAATCCCACCGAGCCTACAGTATTTTAAGCTCACTGCCTTCCTAAAGTTCTTCTCAAATATTTCCAATTGATTTCTCTTCCTCCCATTGATTTCTGTAGCATTTATGGCCTGAGTTATACAACTAAAGCATTGTCTTATGTATGATCTAAACAGCTAAACTGCACATACCTCAAGACACAAATTTCTAATAATAAATATCTTATTGGATTTCATCTTTTGAAAACTCATGATGAGCTCTAGCCTTTCTCCAAGTCTCCCTTTCTCTATCCCTTCCAAGTTGTCTCCTCAAATAGGCCTGAACTGAGTCAAAAATCAATTATTCTAAGATCTGTAGCTTAGTTGTACGCATGTCATACAATAGGCATCGTGTCTATGTCAATTTCCTGATTCTGATAATGTATTGTGGCTGTGAGATGTTATCAATGGGAAACTAGGTGAAGGGTATACAAGAACTCCATGTATTAGTCTTGTAACTCTGTACAATTATCTAAAAATATTTCAAGAAAAAAATCTGTAAAAATCATTCTTTCTGCTGAATGCAAACTATCAATAGGTGATTTCTAATTGTAAGATATACATACCCAACAAAACATGATGGTCCCTGAGGACAAGGACAATTTTATATAGTTATTTAGGCTTCCCCCACAAATACTGGCATTTTATTGGGCTTATGGTGGGGGAAATGTAGGAGAGGATGGAAGAGTCCAGAAAATAGTGGGATATTCATAAATATTTGTAAATTGGTAAATGGGAGATATAAGTAATCATGGGTTAAATTTGGGGATACAAGTATTTAACATACTGTGCTCCTGATTTCACTGCTTTTGGAACACTGCTAAAAATAGATTAAAGATACAAAATATTTGAATGGGAAAATGTCCCAAGCAGTAGAACAGATAACCATTATTCATACTACCATGTGTGGCTGAGTCTTCCTTGAAAACATCTGACTCAATGTGTGTCGCCAATGACTAGAAAGCTGGCTGGGTTGGTAGGTTCAGTTGTAATTTATAAGGTTCTTAATGCAAAAAGAAGTCAAGTACTTTTCAGACAAATAAATATTCACAATTTCTTATTCTTATTTTTTTTATTTTTGGCTTCACCTCTTAATTTACTGCCACATGGCTAAAACAAGAGAGAACTTTTTGAAAGATTTTAAAAACAGGAAATGCATCACTAACAAAAAGATGTTATCTTTGTACCTAAAACAGTGGAAACTTAGGAACTTTTCTCCACTCTGCAGTTCTTTCTACACTACCATTGCATAAGTTTTATAAATGCCACTGTCAAAGAGCAATTTAAAATCACTTTGTCCGAATATTGGGGAAAGAATAACTATATTGCTTTAATTTGATTCTACATAAAACTTAACTGTAAGGAAGCATGGTGTTAATAAGCTCAAGGTTATGGGTTCCATTCCAATGTGGTCTACTTAGCTTCTGTCAGTAGAAAATTTGGTGTCATTGTCCTAGACCATAAGTTTAACCCCCATGTACCTTCAGTCCTAAGACAAACATCTGAGACTGAAACACAAATGTAAAATACGATATTAAACAAGAGATTATAACCCTAATGCTTCTTCCCAGCTCACCTTTTTTATGGCATATCTCCTAAACAGAAATTATTTAATGAACATGAAAGTAATGTGTTATGGTGATAATGTCCCTATACTATGAGCCAAATACCTATGTTTTTCTTAACTAGCTATAAGTTATCCAAAAAATGATATAATTTCATTGGGATTTTTCATCATTTCATTGAGCTAAATAATACCAAAGTAAAAAATTCTATGATTCAATGAGAGCATCAAGGGCCTATAATGTTCCAAAACAAACATATTTCCAGATGACAGAAAGTGGAGAGGTTGATACATACATGATATGCTGGATCCAAAAGTCTCCTAACAGAAGAATTGATTAAATCTAACAAAATATTTAAGAGGATGAAAATAATCTTCTACACCTGGGTTAAATATACACACACTACTCAGGTATAGGTTTAAGAAGATTTGGTTCAGCAATAGAATACATTAAAATAACCAAAAAAAAAAAAAGGCCTTCATTGGCAATAAACTCCCCCATGAGCCAACATCTTCTGTCTGTAACTAGACTATGGAAGAAAGGACTCGGGCATGCTAGCTATCTTCAGCTAAGTGAAGGGCTCTCATAAGAAAGAGGGATTCATCATGCTCTAAGGGGATAATTTTATTTATTTATTTTTTCTTTTGGAAAAAATGCTTATACAATGTCTAATATCCATTCCTGATGACTAATACAAATTACAACATTAAAAGTAATTCATTCTCAACATCTCACTGAAGGTTTTGATTACAAGGGAAACTCAAAATTGTACATTAAGTCATTACCCAAATTTCTTGGAATTTTAAAAGATATAAAATATTAGCAGGGACTTGACCAGGTGGTTGTCCACTAATGTCCACAGCAGCATTATTCACAATAGACAAAAGATGAAAATAACCCAAATGACTATCAATGGATGAATGAATAAACAGAATGTGGTATATATAAAATATAGTTTGTAGTTATCACAATCTTTTCATTTTTTTAAATCTTACTATCACAACCATTAATTTTATAATTTGGTCAACTTTTTGTGTAAAATCAAAAGAACTTACATTACTGGTAGCAAGTAGTATCAATACAATAAATATGTTTACTTTTTATTTTTTAACTTTTTACTATGAAAAACTTAATATATATGCAATAAATCTGGCTACACCAATCAACAACTCATGGGCAATCTTATCTTATATGCACTCCCCACCCACTTTCTGTCTTCCCCCTGGATTATTGTGAGTAAATCCCAGTATCATAGCATTCATCTGTATATATTTCAGTATGTGTCTCTAAAAGATAAGAATTGTTTTGTAAAAGATATAACCGCAGTATAGAATCACATTTTAAAAATCAATAATAATTCCTTAATATAATCAAACATTAAACATGTTTAAATTTCTCCAATTCTCTCCCCCCCCCTCTTTCTTTTTTTTTTTTTAGCATAATTTATTATTTTATTATATACTTTATAAAAAACAAAAGCACAAACACATTAATTCTCACCACTCCTTCTCACTACCATTAGGGAAGGAACTCACTTTTTTTTCTTTTGGTCAACTGGCTGGTACAGAAATCCAAACCCTTGACTAGCTCACATCTTTTTTAATGTAGAACTGGCCACCTTCTAAAGTAGGCCATATTATTTGTTTCTATATATACCCTTAGATACTTCTCTCCCCTCAAATACTTAATATCCCAACTATAAAAATGGAGCTGCAAAGGTAAAAGATAAATGAGATTTTCTTGCTGTTGCTATAGTACAAACATTTGAGATGACTACAGAACCACAAAAGTAATGGGGAGCAAAAGAACACCTAAGTAAGGAATGGAATGTATGTTACCTATAACAAGTAGCTGAATTATCTGTTGTAACTGGCACCTCCCTGACAACTGCAGGGACATGGGCACATGAAACATGAGACAAACGTGGGCCAGGTGACTGCTTTTACTTGTTTCCAGAAGGCACATGTCTCCTACACTCTTCCTTATTTCTTAGTAAGTAAAGACAAACTACAGACAACCCATTATTTAGATTCTGCCCACTTTGAGGTATTAAATGCACAAAGAAAAGATTAGTTATGTCTAAATGGCATGCAATAAAAATATTTTTAAACAAACATGGTTAAGTGTTAAGATTTTTAGAAATCAAACATTTATTCACAATTTTAAACTGAAATCAAAGCTAATAAATCTTCCATAGTAATGATTTAAGTGCAAATGATGCTGGCTTTCTTTCACATTCATTTCCTTCAGAGTGAAGGCAGATCAGTTGTTCTTGAACAAGTCAATGCAGCTCTGCAAGAGGGAGACATTGTTCCTGGCATGCTTTATTTCCAGTTCAGACATTTCAATTAGGTTCTTTCTAAATGCAGCCACCCTCTTCCGTTTAAAATTGATCAGTTCTTCTATTGCAGACTCAGAAAGCTGTTCAAATTTCTGGCAGCATTCCTGCTGGTGTGCCTCAGCCAACTTGACATCTTTGCTTTTTAACCGGGCCTTATCCAGAGCTTTGTTTGAGTTCTCATAGTCAATCAGGGCCTTGGTGCGTCTGTACAAGAGATCCTGAGAAGAGAATGTACAGGTACAATATAAAAAGCCACCAGAAAACGGAATAGGAGCACTAAATATCTAAACCAGTCTAGGGCTGTCTGGTTAGCTCAGCTGCGTAGAGTACAGTGTTACAACACCAAGGTCAAGGATTCAGATCCCTGTACCAGCCAGCCACCAAAAAGAAACAAAAAAAAACTCAAAAACTTAACCAGTCCAAAAAATAACCGAAGTATTCACAGTACCAATCAACGCACTGTCTGAAACATTAAATGGCAAGAATCTACCTCTACATTTCCCCTCCCCATTATTATTTTTTTATCTCCAGATTTAGCAAGGATGAACAACTGTCTTAGTCCATTTTCTGTTGCTAATAACACAATACCTGAAACTGGGTACTCCATAAAGAAACAATTTGTTTCTTACAGTTCTGGAGGCTTGAAGCCCGAAGTTGATAAGCACACATCAGTTGAGGGCTCTCTTCTGGGAGGAGACTCTCTGCAAGAGTCCCTAGGTGGCACAGTGTATCACATGGCAAGAGAGTAAGAGTGTGTTCATGTGCTAACTCAGTTCGTCCTTCCTCTTCTACCTCTCAACATTGCCACAACAGGGATTAAACTTCAGCATGAGTTTTTGGAGAGGATATTCAAATCATAGCAACAACTCTTATAGCTCTGTTAAAAAGTTTTTTTCAGAATTATTTATAGGCATCAGGTGAAAAAATCCAGAGTGAAAAATGAAGGATTTTTTCTGGTTGTTCAATAATTGAAGGTAAATTCAGAAATGTTAACATTGAGTATGAAAACACATGTACAAATTATAGCTGTGTGAGTCAAATGGAATACTGCCAGACTGCAACTGGGCAGAGTAAAGTAGTAAGAAACATATAACACTACCCTGCAAAAATCCTACATCTGGTAATCTACCCTGGGGAAGCAGCTAATCTTAAAGATTCTTTGCAATCTTACAGCCAAGTAATTATATAAAATTGGCAATGATGATACATGTATACAATGGACTATGCAGTTTTTAAAAACTGTTGAAGACTGCTACCATGGCTTAAATGTGTCCCCCCAAAATTCATAATCCTTCTGTCCTCATGATTGGATGAACAAGAGTTCTGCCCACAAGAAAGGATTACTCTCATAGGAATGGGTTTGTTTCCACGGGAGTGGATTTTCCATAAGAGCAAGCTCTCTTGTGCTTGCCCGCCACCATGTTATGATGCAGCAAGAAGGCCCTCACCGGATGCCAATGCCATGCTCCCGGACTTCCCAGCCTCAGAACCATGAGCTAAATAAGCTTTCCTTGATAAATTACCCAGTCTGTGGTATTGTTATAGGAACAGAAAATAGACTATGACAACTGGCAAAATAATTGTTGAAGCTGGTTGAAAACTATTATATCTTCTTTTGCGTACACACGAAAAACTTAAAACTATAACAGTCTAAAGTGTATAAAAAGTATCCAAAAATAAGTCTAAGAAAACATGTCAAAAGGCACATTAACTAAAAATTATACTATGGGGAAAAAAATAAATTTTCACTTCCTGATGACATTTCCCTTTGTTATATATACCTTAGTCTGTACATCATTATATGTTGCCTGATTTAATACGTTTCATGTAAAACTAATTTAAACATGTTTGGGACAGTGTAGACAGTGAAGAATGCATGTTTCATTCTCAAAGGTTATTCTGCTTATCACTTGTCTTACCTTTCATAAGTAATGCTTCACAGCGGTTGCAGGGGTAGCTGTAATTCAATAAAACCCACAAATCCCAAAACCTTTTCTGACTCAGAAATAGCCCTTTTGGTATGTTATGCCCCACATCCAATAACCTACAATACTCAAAACTATCACCTATCTATTCTACACCAAACTTTAAGGATACAACGTCATGAAAGACTGATAAATTCCTCTCTCCCTCCTGAGAATAACTTCCCCCGCTTTTTGGCGGGGGTGTGTGTGTGTTGGGGGCAGGGGGACATCTGGCCAGTATGCGGATCCAAACCCTGGACCTTGGTGTTAACAACATGCTCTAACCAACTGAATTAACTGGCTGGCCCAACTTTCCTTCTTAACAAAAAGAATGTATCTCTAATGTTACACTTCTGATAATGGCAAAGTGGTCTTGCACTGCTCTGGTGAGTTCAACAATTTCTTGTCTTACCTTAGCGGCCTCTATGTTGAGCATGTAGTATCGGAGAAGCTCTGTCAGCTTTAAATCTTCATCTGAAGAGACTCGACCCTCCACTTTCTATTTAAAAAAGTAAAGGTCACCATCAAGGCAGAAATCTACAGATTATAAAACATATGAAGACTAACACAAAAATCCTTACCCTAAGTTTTTCAAATAGCTCAGCAACCTTCAATAGGTACCTGAAAATATACATATGATTTTGGTTTCAGGTCTTACTTAACTCATTTATGATAAGACATGGATGAGTAAACTAGCCTTTGGTACTTCAGAATTACCAATAGTGCTTTCATTTCAACTAATCCAAAACAACAGAGAAAATGGTTATAAAACTGAGCACATTTACAGTGCCCCACTCATCAGCATCATGTTCTTGGTTGCCCCTTCAGCTATCCTGCCACATGTCCAGGATAATTCCTACCAAATGCCAATCCTTTGCTAACCAAGGACCATGGTTGTCACAAAGCAATTAATATGTTACTACCTCACCTTGATTCTGCCATTAGCCTGACTTTCAATTTCAAGTCAGAAATAAAACGACTTATTATACCAAGTATAGGTGTTAAGTAGAATATTGCCTCATACCAGAAATGCCCAGAATGAAGAAACTGTAAAAACATATATAAAAGTTAAGTGCAGGATCAGATGGCGGTTATGTTATTCTCATGACCACCATAACCACATCTCTTCAAAAAGTCCAGGGCATCACTAGGCAAAATGGCAAGCACCAATTGCCAGAAGACATAAGGCAAACTTCTCTCAAAAACCACTCCAAAACTAAATCAACAAGAAAACTGAAACATTTAAATTTGACAGAATAAAGGTATTAATTCCAACATGTTATGGCACTTCAACACCTACCACATTTGTTCATCTATAGAAGAGCCATCTAAGTCCCCTACGACTGTCTTATAAGTGTTTTATTTGAGTGTTGGAAACTATCTTTGATGAGCTTATACTTCACAACAGAACTGAAACAATGAGTCATTACTCATTATGCTTTCCAACAAAAACTTACTTTTTGATGACTGTGGGCTCTTGTAAAGCCAGGCTGTGCAAGCAGGCTGCAGTGTGGATATAGTCATCAGCAACATCTGTAGAAACAAGGACAGTCCTTTTTACATGAACAGAGCCAGGCACATTAGCAAAGTTTTAAGTGGCTAGAGAGTGAACGGTATTTACTTTTATGAGATCTGGTCATCTTGTCAGCTTTTGCACAGGAATCCTTGATCCTATTGTAATAATTAATAAGGAAGTTCTTCTCTTGCTCAAAGAAGTCATCTACCTCCTAAAAAGGAGGAAAAATTAAAGTTAAGAAGCAGAAATTCCAAGAGTGTGAATATTCTGTATTAGAAGAAACATTATGGCAAATAACCTCATGAATAAGAACTTAAAACTTTTATAGATCAGGGAATTAGAAATTCATAAGATATTATTTCACACCCATGACTGGCAAAAATCAAAGGCTAACAGGAAATGTCAATAGAGAGAACCATTTCGAAGAGCGATTTGGCAATGACCAGTAAAACTCTGGTATCCTCTCTAAGACCCATCAATTCTATTGCTACTGCAGTGGTTCTACCATGTAGGACATTGCCACCAGCCTTGGATATCTGCATTTGTAATATGGGTGGGGGATTCTTTCAAATTTGGTTGGTTTCAGGCTGGGAGGCAATACTGACATCTGGCGGGCACTGGCCAGGGATGCCAAACATCCCACAATGCCTGAATAGAGGATAGTTCCACACACCTTATAAACTGCACCAAGGGAAAGAGAGTTCCAAAATTCCGACAATGCTCCCTCTACTAAGCATTGTCTGTATTCGGGGCTCCCTACCCAAGCCCTGGGGTGACAAAGCCAGACACCACAGATAGTACTGCAAAGGTAACTCAGTTTAAAAAGAGGGGGAAGGCCTGGGGAGTGAAGAAATAAATCCCACGTATGAGGGTAATGAGAGACTTGTATATTAATTTTTACTTTCTGGAACAGCACTATCCAATAGAAATAAAACATGAGCCATACACGCCATTTAAAAATTTTCTAGTAGCCTCAATAAAAAGACACAGGAAAATAATTTTAGTATTATACTTAATACAGTACATCCAAAATCATTTCAACACACAAAAATGTTACTGAGACATTTACTATTCTTTTCTTTGAACTAAGTCCTTGAAATCCAGTATGTAAATAAGTTTAAAATTTGATTCCTTAAATTGTGCCAGATAAGCTACAGGTCAAATGCTCACCTGCCATTTGTGGCCACCATACTGACAGTGTACTTCTGGGAACGGCATGAAATACTAACCTGGTAGCTTACTCTCTTTAAAATTATTTGAGTAAGCTCCTTACAGAAAAGGAGTAAATGAAGACTTGAATGTGGAAAGGTTCATGTCAGCTCTCCTGGGAGAGAGCAATTTGTTTTGGAAAATTAAGTGAAAACTGAATGAGAAGAGAAAATAACCAAAACTGAAGAAAATTTACATTTCTTAAAAGTTTATACCATGTTTCACAAATACCTCTTCCAAAGAATGTGCAAAAGGTCACCTATTCCCACTTACCTTAACTCCAGAAAAAAGGACTTCATCAGCACTTTTCACCACACTTTTGAAAAATCCACCAAACATCTCTTTGGTATTTTTCCGCCTGACACTTAGCTAAAGGAAGAAAATTCCAAAAGAACAGTTTATGATATATATCTTTTAGGTTCTCCTAAAGAAGTATTGAATTACATTCCAAGTAATACTTTTTACAAGTACAGGCACATACATAAGGTAATCTTTAATTCCGTCTTAACCACCAAGTCTAAAATATTTGATAGGATGATAGGTCGGTTAGCTCAGTTGGTTAGAGCACGGTGCTGATAAGATATCTAATAAATGGCTAAACCTAAACACAGGTCATCTCATTCTAAAAGGTTGGAGATATGTGAAAACAATCCAAGCGCTAAGTCTTAGGGGGTTTTAAATCCTTGGTAGACTTACTGTTCTGATCTACAGATTCAAAGACACTGAAGGGGCCGGCCCATGGCTCACTTGGGAGAACACGGTGCTGATAACACCAAGACCACGGGCTCGGATCCCCTATAGGGATGGCCGGTTAGCTCACTGGGTGAGCATGGTGCTGACAACACCAAGTCAAGGGTTAAGATCCCCTTATCGGTCATC